TTGTTAGACTGATTTCTCTATTAAAATAACTATTTCTTTCAAAAACATTATTTAGAGCCTAGGTGGAGTAGTCGAACACAGATCTACTGATCCTTCAACACAGAGCATCTTCAGAAGACAAGCTGATAAAATAAATTTTATAAATCTGTATTGTTCCATACAAGTGTGTATTTAACCTAAAGCACTGTTTTTGAACGGTTCGATGCGGGTACATGTAGCACCCCTAATAATTATTTATTTATTTAATTATTAGGGGTGCAACAATACATGTACCCGTATGGAACAATACAGATTTTAAAAATTTGCTTCATCAGCTTGTCTTCTGAAGATGCTCTGTGTTGAAGGATCAGTGGATCTGTGTTCAACTACTCCACCTAGGCTGCATTTTTGAGCGCAGATCCACTGAGAAACTTGCTGTTTCAGCAACATTTAATTTAAAAACTGTATTTTTGAGGTTAAACAAATGTTCATAATTAATATAAATAAATTAAAAGTTAAAAGGGGCATGGACATTTCTCTTTTGTATTGAAAAAGTATCGAACTGTGAGACTAAAGTATCAAACTCATTTTCTGAGCTTAAAAAGAATTAAAAATCTAACTATCGAACTTGTGTGTAAAACTATCCCCCCACTTTATGATTTTAGAGTTAATTTCAGTATTATACAAATAAATACAGTAAATTAAACATTTTTTTAATAAACACATTTTAAATGCGTATTTTAACTGTAAATTGTTACATGTATGATTGATTTCAGATCCACATTTGTAGTTTAAGTTAGACAAATGATGATGTCATGTAAAACCCACAGAACCTGTTGCTGGATCTGATCTGTTTTGAATTGTTGTTTTAGGAACCTGATCCTGGATGTGTTATCATGGAAGCCCCCTGCTGAACAAACAAGACCACCATGATGAGTCTTTGTTCCTGGTGAGTTTATTATTATAGCGGTTGTTTTCCCTGTCCTCTCCTCAGCTCTCAGTCAGCTGACCAGTCTCCTCCTGACTGGTTTGGTGTTACAGAGCTGGGACAGAACGTCTCTACTTGCGTTCGGCAGCGCTGCTTCTGTTTTAGAGGGAGTGCTGCTGAGGTGCTGCAGAGCATGGCCCAGTGAGAGTGGTCTGTCCTGGTCCCACGTCAGGACAGGCCTAGTGCAGGGCTGTACATCACATGCTGAGGTTGTGTAACTCTGTGCTCGGCCCTGTTGTTTTAGACAAAACAAAGCTGATGTTGATATTTTCCTGTTGTTGACAGGCTGTACTGGCCTTAGAGGAAACATGGTGGTTCTGATGACAGAACCTGTGAAGGTGAGTCTTTATCTGTATTAAAGCTGTGCTGCTGAGAGCTGTGATGACTGAAGAGTAAAACACATCATGCTGATAAATCCTGATGAACCAAACATCCTGAGCCTGTGGCAGCCCAAATATATACATAATGATTGTGGTTCTGGTCCGTTCATGAATCTCTCTCTGTTCAGCAGCATGAGAAGCAGCAGCGGGCCCATTTTGGGCGGTACCTCCTGAAGTTGGAGCTGGTAATGAACAGGTGAGTGTCAGGATATGGCTGTAAAGAAATGACCCAACGAAGTACTGCCACTGCAGAGATTTCTCTCCTCTGCTGTGGAATCAAAGGATTGGGACAGAAACTCATGACTTTGGCACAGGTTTCAGTAAAAACAAAGTTTACTAGAACCTGACTGAAGACCTGAAACATGCAGCTTGTTCATGTTTAGTCTGTAGAGGAGCATTAATTTAATTTTTTATTTCTGCTGATAGGTTGTTCCAGCTGAAGGAAGTCATGTCAGGATGGCTGCTCAGTCCAAGGCTGAGGATTCAACTGCATTTCAGATATAAATACTACACTAAGGGTTTTCACTAAAAGATAAAATAAAAATTAAAACAGGAAAGGCTGTCAGCAGGGGTGCCAGTCGTTTACTGTTTTTACAGAACATTTACTGCTCTTTATATTAACAGTATATTACTGTAAATTGGATTACAATAAAATAGTAAATGACTTACACTAGACACCAGCATTGTACTGTTATTTTACTGTTTATGTACTGTCATTTATTTTAAAAAAGTATTACTGCATATTGTATTACAGTAATCTAATGGGTTTTTTGTAATTTTATATCTGTATTTGAAATAAAATTGCTTATAAATCCATCTGAATTTTCTAAATGAAAAACATTTTTTTACAGTTTTAGTGAAATTATGACACACCTGAGCCTCCGTTTAATTATTTTATTTTATTAAACCTTTTATTTAATCCCATTCAGATTAAGAATCTTTTGCAAGGGAAGCCTGGCAGCTTAACAAAAGTTGTCATTTACTGTATAAATTTCAGGTAATTGTAACGCTAAAGAAAAACAATAGCAATAAGATGAAATTGTTCTGGTTCAGACTGGATCATAGTCCATGGGATACACTCTTTCAGAAAAGTCATGTTAACAGAAAAAGTTGGGTCTGACTGCCCACCAGGGACCACTTTTGGTCACACCCCTTTTCCATTGTGACCATCAAAGTTAGGGGGAGAGGAACCTTAACTACCAACTCTGGCGGAGTGGTTAGGGGAGTCCTGGAACCGGAAGGTCCTGGTTCAATCCCCCGTCCAGCCGTCTCAGTCATTGTGTCCTTGGGCAAGACACTTCACACACCTTGCCTACTGATGGTGGTCAGAGGGTCCGGTGGCACCGGTGCATGGCAGCCCCCCTCTGTCAGTGTGCCCCAGGGCAGCTGTGGCTACAATGTAGCTTGCCATCAGTGTGTGAATGGGTGAATGTCTGTTAGTGTAAAGTGCTTTGGGGTCCAGAAGGACTTGAAAAGCGCTCTATAAGTTCAGTACCATTTACCAATAACTTTGCTATAATCCAACCAAGTTTTAAAAAACAGGATATCAGATTTGTGATAAAATGGACCTTTATTGTCATTGTACTGGGCACAATGAAATTATCTGATTAGCTCTTCGATTTAAATAACACTTCATTAAACAAATGTGCAAACGATGTATGAGGGTCAAAATGTCACAACCCCAACAGAAGATGAAAGATGTGAGACAGAACAGATGGTTCAGCTTTAACCCATTCCATGTGAAAATAAAGCTGCATAACAGATTCAGGTATTTTGATTGTGTTAACCATAATATAACTTTACAGTTACTAAAGAAGTAACTGGAGTATTTTGTTACACATAACCTAGAGTAAGATTAATGCCGAACCTTATCTTCTGGTTAACAGACCCGGACATCTGAACTCAGAACACATGCCATTGTCCAACTCATTCCAGTAAAGCCTTAATGTTTTGATGTGGTTTTGATGTCTGAAGCCAGTGCCACAGATACAAGGAAGAAAATCTCCCTATGTTTAGCATTCAGAATCTGAAAAAATACGCCACTGATGGTGAAAACTACTACAGAGGAAAAAAACAAAAAAAGGAAGTCTTAACAACTAATGCATGAATAATAAAGCTTGATAATAAAATAAAAATGTTGCTAACACAGCGTCCAATGTCCAGGACCCATACAGCAATCAGAATCCAGTCCAGATTTGATGCCTGCGACTTAAAATTACATTAAAAATGAATACATCATAGAACAACTGACAACTAAAGCAGATAGTAAACTGGTTAAAATCATGTACTGGGAGATGTGGTGTTGGATCCAGTGAAAGAGGTGGAAACCAGGTTTAGATCACATGACTGTTTCCTGCAAAAACTTTTAACATCCTGGAGGAAAAAAAAAACATTACACCTGTTAAGAGTTATGTCTTTTTTCTTTATGCTTCCTTAAGATCCATTAACAAGCATTACAATAATTGTCATCTCATGAGCACAGATTATACCAAACCTGTATTTATTTGCTGTGTCTCCTAACTATGAAATATGGAATAAATCTACTCTTCATTTACCAACTTTGTTTTTAGACATTTTCTCAACGGCTTTCAGACATAAGTTCAGGATCTGCAATAGAAAAAATAGTAATTTCACTACATAAAATTTTATTTAACACACACACACACATGCTTGTAATGTTTTGAAACTTACGAGCCCATTAATGTCTTCACATAATCCCAGAGTGATCACTTCGAGTCAGGATCTGTTTGTCAACGCGTGCAACATATTCACTGGGATCAATGGTTTTGTCTAAAATCTGTGCAGGCTAAGGAGGAGAGAAACAAGTGAACAACAACAACAAAAAAAAGGATATATATATATATATATACGTATATATATATACGTAT